CTTTAAGACTGAATCTACTGACACAGCAAATGAACCCCTTTACCTGAGGGAACAGCATGAGAACTCTGACGAAAAAAAGTCTATCAAATGAAGATCCAAGAGCTACAAGAAACTCCTCAAAGGAAAATAGTTTATGGGGAAGTGTTAGAGGAAGAAATGAAGTGTTTAAAGAACGATCTGAATTAGTGTTAAGAGCAACTCTGAATACTGATTCAATCAGTGCTAAGGAAAAGGAAAAATCCAGGAATTACTTATCAGTACTCAAGGCGTGACCCTCCCTCAACTTTGAATTGCGCCGGGAAATTAACCAGAAAAGTAAAGTTATAAACGAAAGAGACGAGGAAATAAAAGACTTATCAAAAAGTAAGACTGAAGCAGAGATACTACTGCGAGAGGTAAAGGAGAAACTTTTAGAAGCTCACAAGGAGACAGAACTTTTGAAACTAGAGTTGGCGTAAATGAAGAAAAGATAAAAGGTCGACCGCTTTCCAAACTGATGGTAAGGTTCTCACAAAGTCTGACATTCCAAATGACAACCCTAAGAACAACTTTACAAAGGAAAACACGCTTTCTCGTTTCTAATCCCGGCGAACAAGTCTTACCATCGAAAGTTGGATATTCAACGCTTCACCAAGGGTTCATGAGCTTAGCCAGCAAGGATAAGAGGCAACAAAGCACGGTTGATAGAGAAGAGATAGCAACTAGTGGCAGGAAAGCAAAAGTACATTTTCCGCAAAAATGGAAAGAAGGGAACCCAATCGCTATGGTTACCTACGAGACCCTTTCTGAATCAAACTGTCCAATGACGCATACGAAGACGAACATCAGATTTATTCGTCTAACCTAGACTCACTTGCACTGAAAAGTGCATTTGTCAAGAATTTAATGTCGCAAATCAGTGGTATAAAACAATGGCATGATTGTTAACGAGAAAAGCACTAAGCTCTAATCCTGGGAAAAACTGAGCACAATTTTGTTTCCCAGTAAATAATTCGATAGATATATTTGGAATGACAATAGATAATAGGCTTTCTTCTAACAATCACGTATCAGTTATCTGTAAGAAAATAAATGATCAATTTCACGTAATGCTTAGATTTCAGAAACTTATTAATAAGGAGACGCTATTGAAGCTTTATAAAGCCTTTATTTTGCCGCATTCTTACTACTGTTCTTCTGTTTGGCATTTCTGTGGTGCGCGCAATGCCGACAAAGTAGATAATCTAAATAAGCGCATTCTTAGGTTTATACTACAGGACTACAGCTCTCCATATGACATTTTACTATGCAAAGTTAAGTTAAAATCTCTATTCATTAGACGCCTCCAGAACTTCACGATCACGTTATATAAGACTCTGTTCTTTACGAATTATCCAGGTTATTTAAAAGATATGTTCAACGTACGGTCTTCATCCTACAATTTGCGCGGAAATCATATCATATCCCTTCCCAAACCAAAAAACAACGACATACGGTCTGCACTCTTTTTCATACTTAGCTAGCAAAATATTGAACTCTCTCTTTAAAACATTAAATTTTCTATAATTCAAGCAGGAGATCTTTTGATATGAAGCTTTTCCACAGTAGATCTACAAGTTATATTTCCCTCTGCATGCATAATGTTGTATATAGTTTATAAATAATATTGGAATTGTAAGATAGCATATTTTCATTTTATTTTAGCTTATTTTTCGAAGATATTAGCTCTACAGCTACACTGAATTTCGAGCATAAATAAAGTATATGTATGTAATGACCAGAGATTCAGAGAAAACTAAGAAAGCTGTAAGAGAATGGCTTAATAATATCATACGGGAAGCGAATAATAAATTGGCCAGAGAGCAAAAAAATCAGTAATTTGGAAAGCACTGACGACATTGAAAGGAAAAAATACTTTGATGGGAAAAAAGAGCAAGTCACTCTCTGAGAGAGACAATAGCTTCCCTTCAGGAAAATATCTCGAAGGATGGTTCAAAACTTACGGAGCAACACCACGAAACCTCTTCCTCTCGCCTGGGAACAAAAAAAACCAGGAGGCTTGACAGACAGGAGCCATTTAGAACAACAGAACATGCCACAAAAGAATTTTTGTTTCAAGCGAAGCTTGGCAGCTGAACAGCATGCTATACAACAGGATGAGGTAACCCCGGTTAGAAAAGACTCAAACCTGGCGACTTACAACTCACTTGGTTCCTGGTTGAATCATTTTATTTCCCCTTTTTAACCTGTTTCGACGTCGTAGACTTTTCAACCAAGCCGACCCTATTGACTCTGTTGAGCCATTTAGTGAAGATTATCTTCCGTGGTTAGATTAGATACCGGACAAAACGGAGGAATTACGGCGAAAAGTTAGCAGGGAGGGTCAACATTCTACACACAAAGTCAGTCTCAACAAATTCCTCTCATCAAGCGTTGTAAAGAAACGAAGCTCAGGGAATTCAAAATTGAACGGCCCATAGGTATGCCATATTAGAATCTTGATACACTTGGACGAATTATGCTTTGTAACATCACAATCAAGCAATGTTACTTTTTGTTTAGAATTTTAAATTTCAGAGGTAAGCCATGCTCAAAGGGAAAGTCACAATATTTCTTTCGTTTTTTACATTGTTCATTGTTCGCCAAAGGCGAAATGAAATGATTGATGAGTAATCCCCGGATGAATTCGACATTATTCACTGACCCTGAGACGAATAATTATTTTAGTATAATTGCTCAGGTGCTTTTTGAATTCTGTTGTAAATTTGTTTTGTGGTTGAAACCATTGTGTAATCGTTTTGATTACTGGAACCTATTTCATTCTAATTCCGTCAGAATTAAACAGGTTCATAATTTAATCTAATCCACTAAAACTTTGTGTCTCTTTTAAAAGTGTTTGGAAAGTGTTAAGCTACACTTATGGCATCTTTTCTGCTCTTCACAATTGAATTTTATTCTATCGCGCTTCTTACCCTTGCGTAACATGAGAGTGAGTTAGCAAGGGAGGGGAAACGAGAACGTTATTTCAGAACGGAGAGCGCGCGGATAGTCTGGACAGGACTCTATATCGACTTCCGGTGTTGGCATTATCGTTCTATTCAACAAATTCAGGGCATCATCTCGCTGGTTTTCCCGTCGCGATCGAAACACGTGGGATTTACGTAAATTGTGCACTTGTAAATAATAGTGTTTGGAATTAATCCAAAACTCATTTCCAGGATAAGTAGGTCCCCTTCCTTCTCTTATTCAGTGTATTTGTGAAAATTTATCGCTAAATTTTTGCAAAGTGGCTCTAAAATTTGACAGATGAATAAACAGACGCGAGACTAGATTATAATAATTTTGTAAAAAGTCCCATTGTCCATGAGGATTCCAATCAAAATCTTACTTTTCTTACCAGTAATTATCCTCTGTTTTCGCTTGTTGCATAATTCTCAAAGAAGCTAAATTCCTTGTCCCTAGAGCTGTCTATGAAACCGAAACTTTGTGAGGGCGATCTTTAAAGAGCCAGGGTTTGGATATTCAAGAACGAAGATGGCGCTGAAGTCTCGTCGCAACGACTGCTAAGTCACTTCTGAATCACAACGGGGCGACATACCCGACCCAATTCCTTACCAGTCTTTTTACTGCGTGCGTCGTTGTCGTGGATGGCAACGGTTAACCTCATTGGAAGTCTCCTAGAAGAGATCCTTTTTGGATTTCCCGGAAAAACGCAAAACATAGAAATTAATGAGATCTGGAGTTGGATTTCTTAATTGAGATCCACTTTGAGGATGGATTTCTCAGCGATGAAAGTCGTCTATGGATTTCATGTTTACCGCCAAATCCGAATTCCCGATTTCAAAATCAAAATCCAGATTCGTAACAGTTAAGCACTCAGATTTCTTTGAACACGGCGTCTTCTTTCTGATTGGCCTAGACTAGCTCTCGACCCAGTTTCGTAGCAGCCACGTTCAAAATGGCGGACGAGCTGCGTGAATGTAGAACTGAAAGCACCGATGTAGCACTGAATAGTCGGTTTATTTCGACAGTTAAGTTACATTTGATGACGGATGATGATGACCTATGCTAAAACTCGCCTCATCTTCATATTGTACATCGGATGTGTGAAGTAACGTCTTTCTATCATGATGAAATTTTAATGTTTACCAGGAACCACTTGACAGGTAAGAGATCTTCCAAGAACTTTCAACCGATTCAATGTCTATGAAATGTATCTTATCACATAGGAACGATACTTATTCAACTTCTAACAAATGTTGCACTGATTACTAAGGAATGGGGTGATGGAAAAACAATGACCTTCAGTCCATGGACAACTCAAATGAACTACCATAACACGCACCAATCCTTCGATGTTTTTGTTATGTTTTCGTACGTCACAACAAACTCCCTGAAATGTAGGCGAGCATTTTAAACGTTCAAAATTATCTCTTCGAAATATAGCGTGATCCAAGTGATGTTACATTCAATATCGGACATGAAGTAAGGAGAGAAATCGATAATATTAAAATGCCCTTTAGTATATAGATTGACGCAAATATCAAATATATTTCCATGTACGTGAGTTGGCATGGCTGTGTTTGGAAGGAGGTTATATTTATAGGACTTGCACACCCATTTTAAGCCGCATTGTAAAACATATTTATGGTCTAGAAGAGCAAACACCTTTTTTCTTTTCATTTTTTTCTGATTTTCTTATTCTAAATGAATTTAAGGTTCTATCATGGTGATTTGTTGCAAGAAAGGTTGCTTATCATAAGCTCTTAAGCATAGAGCTATAAAATAATAGAAGGTTAATCCCTTTTACAAAATTCAAATTTTTGATTGGGTTCTTCAAAGTTGACCTCAATAGCATTTAAATGTAAGTTGGCCAATTTGTCTCATCAGATCTTTAATTAAGCTAAGGTATGGACATTGAGAAACCTAAGTTTCAGTTGTATTCTGCAGGCATCAAGTGGTCTCCCCCTAGAATTTTAAAGTTAATTGCAGAAATTGTAATTTCTGTGGCTTTTAGAATATCTCACCAAAGTATCTTTTGCAACAAGTTTCATCATAATCAGTTACAGTATCCCTTAGCATGTTTCTGTCCTCTGGAACACTTTCTTGTAGACAAAGAGACTTAAGAATGTTTTTTATCTATAAACTGCGAGGTGTAGAAAATGAATTTGAAAAGAAAGTAAATGAACCTTAATTTGTAAAACTTCTTTTAAAATGAAGAATTTGCGATAAATTAGAACAAGTTACAGAATGTCTCTGTTATTGAGTGCCTTTTAAACTATAACTGAAGCACTTTGCTTGAAGATTATAGTCACCTTTGCTTTTCTTTGCAAGAGAACTTTAATGAATTGGCATGGTTTATTTTGTGTGAACAAATTAAATCTGGAAAAAAGAAGAGCATTCAGTATCTTTCTTTAAAAAAATACTAATTTAGTTAAGGTAATTCCTCTGAAAAAAATTTATTGCACAATTTTCCTTAAACTTTCCTTAAATGTTCCTTGTAAATGTCTAATTTTGAAAAGTACATTAGTTTTTAAAAAGATAAGTCACTGTGTTTGTTTAGAAGTTTAATGGGCCAAACATACCCCATTAAGTTATGCCTGCACTAATCATGTATGTCATTTCATCGGTTCATGGGACATTTTGCTGCAGGTGGAAGGAAGTTTTTAAAGTAACCCTTTAAAAAAAAGTAACCCTTTAGCATATGGAAAACTTGTATAATTTGTGGGAAAATCAGGCAAATTTAAATGACATAGAAAGTTTGGAGCATCCTCAAATATGGAACAATCTGATGTATAATTTGTGGGAAAATCCAAAATTATACAATAAAATTTAAATGACATAGACTCAAAATACCTTTTACTTGGAGATTTTTTATGGTCTTTTTAAGGCAAGAAAGCGTGGTGGGGTTAGTCAATTTCAAGACATTAACAAGTAGGCATGTTTTATTCATTAAACAATGTGCAAATTGTAGGTTTGGTACAATGTGGCTGAACTCATAGCAGCTGAGAAAAACTCCTTTAAGCAAGAGAGTGAAGAGCTTGAAGTTGCGCTAAGGACTAGAAAACACTGCTTCCTTCATGTAAAACTGACATACATGTATGCAAAGGTTCCTTTGACAAAAACTCACTTTTTTCATGTCTTGCTCTCCTTTTAATTTTAGTCCTTTAACAACTTTTTGTTCAAAGTGTTGAAGGAACGTTGGTCAATATGACTGATGCAGAGCAGGAAAACCTTTTTGAAAATTTTCAACATGTGAGGAAAGTGTAAAGATGATAAAATCAGCATTCATCATTCAACCAGAATCAAATCAGGATTTTTATGGTAAATCAACATTTAAGTCCTGTTATTTTTTCCTCCCTTAACTGTTTCCATTTTATGTTTTTTCTTAAGTTTGGTTGTTTTTTCCCTTGGCCCAATTGGCTATAAAAACCAGGTATATAATTATATATTATATAATTATATACCTGGTTTTTATAGTTGTTACATTTTAAGTAAGCAGTGGCCAAATTATTCTAGTCATTTGGGTGAATTTTTTTTTCATGGCATAGTAATAATTATAATAATTAAATGCTGATGTTTTTAAAGGCAAATTGAAGTGATAATGATGCTGAGATGACTTGAGCAGAAAAAGTTTGGGTGCAATGGACAACGTGCTAGATTTGTTTGAACTTTTTTAAGGAAGCTACTTCATGAAGGCAAAAAGAAAACTTCTTAGGTAATCTGTGCTAAATATTTTGATAATATGATCTGTCTGTGATTAAGTAAAGCAAAATCAGTGTTGAGAATGACAAGTGGAGACCATTCTTTTTTTTTCAATAAATGTAAAACTAGAGAAGAACTCAGCAATGAGAAAAGACAGTAAAATATAATACATG